AACCAGACACAGATACCCAAAGTAACGATGTAACTATCCTCTGGGACATGCCGATTCAAACTGACGGAAAATAAAAGCCGACAGACCTGATATTATCATAAAAGACAAGAAATTCAGGAAGTTTATGCTTAATGACATAAAAGTACCATCTGAGAGAAACACTTCCATGAAAATTATGGAGAAATTGTCCAAATATAAGGACCTGGAGATCGAGATTAACAGGATGTGGGGAATGAAGACTGAGACTGTACCAATAGTAATCGGAACACTGGGCCTCGTAAGAAAAGGAGTGAACAGTTTTACTAACAGCATCCATGGTAACATTAACATACAAGTTGCCTAGAAGATCGCCCTACTAGTAGCATCGCATATAGTAAGAAAAGTGCTATCAATTAAGTGACAATTATCCTATAGAGCCTAAGGACCATAGTTTGTACCCGGCCCTACAGGATAAAAAGCAGGAAACATAACATGCACAAATAATAATAATAATAATAATAATAATAATTAAATTATATAAAAGATAAAGTAAAAAATAAATAAAAAATAAGGGAAATAAAAATAAAGAAAAGAAAGAAGAAAAAAGACGAAAGATAAGAAGAAAAAGAAGACAGATAGGAAAAGAAGATTAAAAGAAAAAAAAAACATATTAAAGTGAAGAAAAAATAATTAAGAAAAAAGCTTATGAAACAAAGAAAAATAAATAAAAATACAAGAAAAACTTATAAAAGAAAAATAAAAGAGAAGAAAAAGAAGAAAGAGAAGAAAAGTGTATAAACGATAAAGAAAAATAAATAAGAAGAAAAAAGAAGAAATAATAATAATAGTAATAATAATAGGAAGTGAAAAAGAAAAAGAAAGAAAGGTTCAATAAATGGAAGTGAAAAAGAAAAAGAAAGAAAGGTTCAATAAATGGAAGTGAAAAAGAAAAAGAAAGAAAGAAAGGTTCAATAAATGGAAGTGAAAAAGGTTCAATAAATGGAAGTGAAAAAAAAAAAAAGAAAAGAAAGGTTCAATAAATGGAAGTGAAAAAAAAAAAAAGAAAGAAAGGTTCAATAAATGGAAAAAAAAAAAAAGGTCAAATAAATGGAAGGAAAAGGTTCAATAAAGGTTGGAAATGGAAAAAAAAGAAAGAAAGAAAGGTCAAATAAATGGAAGCGAAAAAGAAAAAGAAAGAAAGGTTCAATAAATGGAAGCGAAAAAAGAAAGAAAGAAAGGTCAAATAAATGGAAGCGAAAAAAAGAAAGAAAGAAAGAAAGGTTCAATAAATGGAAGCGAAAAAGGAAAAGAAAGAAAGGTTCAATAAATGGAAGCGAGAAAGACAAAGAGAAAAAAAGGTTCAATAAATGGAAGCGAAAAAAAGAAAGAAAGAAAGAAAGGTTCAATAAATGGAAGCGAAAAAGAAAAAGAAAGAAAGGTTCAATAAATGGAAGCGAAAAAAAGAAAGAAAAAAGGTTCAATAAATGAAAGCAAAAAAGAAAAAGAAAGAATGCTTCAATAAATGGATGCGAAAAAAAAAAGAAAGAAAGAAAGGTTCAATAAATGGAAGGAAAAAGAAAGAGAAAAAAAAGCAAGTTTCAATAAATGGAAGCGAAAAAAAGAAAGAAAAAAAGTTTCAATAAATGGAACCGAAAAAGAAAAAGAAAGAAACAAAGGTTCAATAAATGGAATCGAAAAATAAAAAGAAAGAAAGGTTCAATAAAGAAAGAAAGAATAAAAATAATCGCAATAATAATAATAATAATCGATCTAAAGAGACCAAAGATGCGAAGAATGATCAAATGAAAGTCTTTCTGTGTGAGCCGATGTGTTGAACCTAATTGCGCATGCGTGTTTCAACGCTCATAATATTCGAATATCAAACGTAGTGATTTCAGCTTATCATTACACTGACCCATTCTGTTCGATTTGGCTCCTCCCAGGGCAAAGGGCGGGGAAGGCTCTCCTGCCCAGCCGAACATTGTTCTTAGTTGCCCCTGAGCGAAGTCGGGCGAATAGTATCAATAACAATCCATACTGCACCTAAGGCCACGATTAGGACGACGGGGTGTAGTTGGTACCGTTTGAAGGGGTGTGTGTGCTTTTTTTATGATTTTTTTTTCCGAATTAATCGATTGCAAGAAAGGTTTTGACAGGATACGAGGCTCGACGTTTATCGACCGTAGGTTGTTAGAAGGAAAAAAAAATCAACGAATATTGAGTAAATAAATAGCGAAGAAATATATTCTGATAAAAATAATGCCACCGAAAAATGCTTGTCTCCATTATTAAAATGCCGTACGTACTTGTATATAAATCGATCACAGCCTCGAATGTAAGTTCGCTTTCTGACCAACAAAACCAAGTTCGAATCTCACCATAATAAATTCGTCAGAATTATACCTTAATGTGTCCAGTGTACGTATACGATCCCTTTGTTTGTTTAGTGGCTTATCAACACTTAATGGGGCATTTAATGCCAAAATTTAATGTTCATGTGACCATTAGTAATTTCTTTTACAAAACTGTATTCCTAGTAATGCTTGTATTTATTTACAAAATTATGTTGCTGGTAATATTTATTTTATTCATTTTTTTACAAAAAATGAATTGCAGGTGTGTTTAATATTGTTGTGGATTCCGGGGATGGAATCCTGCACAAATAAATAAACAACGCCAGAAATAGAAAAATATGTGTATTAAACATAAGAATACAAACTTGAAATGAAGATTAGTAGTCCAGGAATGCGGGTTAGTAGAAAAGTATATGTACAAGTCTCTGTAAGTAAAGCCGTAATTATCTCTCTTTCTGGACTCTCGTATAACTCTGAGTGAACGCCCTGTCTCGACCTTTTTGTCACGCTATCTCTCCCTAGTATAAGTATACTTTGGACAAGTCCATCTTGTGTACATGTATTTTTATATTTTCATAGTGTTTTGGCCACAGTCTGGAGGTTAACTATTTGCCCATAGCTAAGACCGTAATAGGTGCTACTATTTCAGGTGAGAGTGTACCTAGGAGCAATAGCAATTAAGAGTTGGATTAATGCTCCTCAAAACATCTCGATCAGACGTTTTACTGCCGGGTGTAGTTTATCGTCATACACAGGACTAGCAATTAAGAGGTGGTTCCACGCTCCTCAAAACATCCAATCTCCCGATCAGAGGACTTGCTGCCGGATGTAGCTTATAGTCATACCCAGGACTAGCAATTAAGAGGTCTTTCCACGCTCCTCAAACCCTGCAATCTCCATATCAGAGGGATTGCTGCCGGATGCAGTTTATAGTTATACCCAGCACTAGCAATTAAGAGGTGGTTCCACGCTCCTCAAAACCAGCAATCTCCCTATCAGAGGCCTTGCTGCCGGATGTAGTTTATAGTCATACCCAGGACTAGCAATTAAGAGGTGGTTCCACGTTCCTCAAACCCTGCAATCTTCATATCAGAGGGATTGCTGCCGGATGTAGTTTATAGTCATACACAGGACTAGCAATAAAGAGGTGGTTCCACGCTCCTCAAACCCTGCAATCTCCATATCAGAGGGCTTGCTGCCGGATGCAGTTTATAGTCATACCCAGGACTAGCAATTAAGAGGTGGTTCCACCCTCCTCAAATCTTCCAATCTCCCGATCAGAGGCCTTGCTGCCGGATGTAGTTTATAGTCATACCCAGGACTAGCAATTAAGAGGTGGTTCCACGCTCCTCAAACCCTGCAATCTCCATATCAGAGGGCTTGCTGCCGGATGCAGTTTATAGTCATACCCAGGATTATCAATTAAGAGGTGGTTCCACCCTCCTCAAAATCTCCAATCTCCCGATCAGAGGCCTTGCTGCCGGATGCAGTTTATAGTTATACCCAGGACTAGCAATTAAGAGGTGGTTCCACGCTCCTCAAAACCAGCAATCTCCCTATCAGAGGGATTGCTGCCGGATGTAGTTTATAGTCATACCCAGGACTAGCAATTAAGGGGTGGTTCCACGCTCCTCAAAACATCCAATCTCCCGATCAGAGGCATTGCTGCCGGATGTAGCTTTTAGTCATACCCAGGACTACCAATTAAGAGGTGGTTCAACGCTTTTCAAACCCTGCAATCTCCCTACCAGAGTGCTTGCTGCCGGATGTAATTTATAGTCATACCCAGAACTAGCAATTAAGAGGTGGTTCCACGCTCCCCAAAACCTCCAATCTCCCGATCAGAGGCCTTGCTGCCGGGTGTAGTTTATCGTCATACCCAGGAGGCTCGATCTCTTTTCTCAACAGCATTGGAAATTGTCTAAAAAAGATATGATTTTTTACAGTTTATCAATCCTTTGCAAGTTATTTAAAGCCAGATAAGATTTGAAGGATTTTGTTTGGGGAGATAATAATGGTTTTCTTGATACAAGTGTTACTAATTAAATCATAGCTAGGGAAGAGGTGGATTCATGCCTTTCTCAAGGGTATTTGTGCGTAAGCGAGTATAACGAACCTGACCGGAACTGGAACGCTGCTCTTTGATTACAGAACGTGGTAACGCCAGGTGGTCACTCATCGAGATACTGACCAGCTTCAACGTTGCTTAACTTCGGTTATCAACGTGATATGGCCGTAAGCCATTGAAAACCAACGACATGTCGACTTAAGTCTTGTGAGTGATATTGGGTTGACTAAAAAATTTGGAAGACACCGGTGTTTTTTTTTTAACACGAAATCACACGCCAGCGTGACCGAGGGTTTGAACGTACTTGCCTTGTTCAAAATCGTCGATCACTACATGTTATTTCAACGTGATGTGGCCGTGAGCCCAAACTTTTGCAAGTTATTTAAAGCCAGAAAATATTTTTAGATTGTAAGCACTTTTAAAGCGCGGTAATAATTAACCCATTAGCTAGAGCGGGAGAAGTGGTGGATTCCTACCTTTCGCAAGGGTATTAGTGTGCAAGGTCATGTAACGACCCCGACTGGAATTGAAACTAGACTCTCCGATTTCCATTTACGAACCGTTATCCGTTATGACACCTGCACATCCAAACTTATAAAACCTAGTATTCCCGAGCGGTCACCCATCGAGATACTGACCAGGCTCGACATAGCTTAACTTCGGTTATCGTATGAGAAACGGCGTTTCAACGTAATATGACTGTAATCATTTGAAAACCATACGGCTGAGCATTGTGAGTATGATTTGGAAGACGTCGGTTTTATTTGTTTTAGCACGAATTTACAAGTCATCGTGATCGAGGGTTTGAACGTACTTGCCTTGTTCAAAATTGTCGATCACTACATAATTCAACGTGATGTGAGCGTGAGAGCAACTTTTTGCGGGTTATTTAAAGGCAGAAAATATTTTTAGAACGGAAGCCTAAAAAGGAAAAAAAATGGCATGTTATTTATTGATTTATTTCATAGAAAATAACAGAAAATTAAATTGTCGGGTAAAAATTTGATAAAATATATTTTCTTGCTTTTCTGATATTTGTTATTTTAAAAGAACACTCAGACTATAGTCTCATCTGAAAATGACGTTAATAAAATAAACGACTTCTAACATTTGATCATTAATTAAAAATTAATTAAATTAAATTAATTTAAAAATTATCTTTGGATTAATCTATGTATTAAAATATTTAAAAACTGGAGTTAACCGTTTTCATTTAATTTATTAATATTTTTACGCCAATGTATGTTGCGAACGAAGCATTTCCTCTAAGAAAGGAGATGTTTGAAAAAAAATCGTATGTTAACGTTTTGGCATGAAACGATAATTGCACTCTTAAGAACATTTCGTTTCAGTTATTGTCTATTTTAATAACTATAGTATTCTTGAGATCCAAGTTCCGGTTGAAATTATTTCTGTATCTGTCTATATTTCAACGCCAGCGGTCCGCCAGTGGTAACATTGCGGAGACGAACACGCGGAAGGTCCGACAGCGGGGCACCAGCGGCAAACGCTAGCGGCATATCACCTAGTGGCAAACAGGGGGATTGCTTGTAGGGAGGTAACGAAAGTAAGTAAAAAAATGTTCTTGAAATTTTTATGCAAATTAATATTTAAATTATTTTACTCTATTTACATTATTCGGACTGTCATTCTCATCTTTGTTGCCATATTTATCACAACGTTTCGGCCGTTGCGCGCTCCGGCCTTCTTCAGAATGTCGAACTGAACCCTTTATACCTGTCAATATACCTGTTCTACAATATATTTTATATAATAATATACACAATAATATGTAAGCAAATATATGGATATACATCCGACAGTATGAATAAAAATATACGGAAAAAACAAACAAAAATCCTAATATGCGATTATGCTGTTTTAATTTCTAATGTCAACGTCGGACGTTTCGGTCTAATAGACCATCATCAGGACATATAATCCGCCTAAGATTTTTATTATGAAAATATTTTAAAATCTTCACAGAAGCAGGCATAATATCTATCTCACGCACGGTGAACACTAGACCTGGCTTCCCCTTTTCTAGCAAGATTAATGCTCGACAAACGTCATATAAGATTTAGATCAAAATAAAATTCTTTTCGTTTTTCCTTCAAAATACTCAAATTTTAGGAATACGTTTTCACAACATCGCCCGCGTGACGACGACGTGATCATATTTAAACGGAACGCTGATCTTATAAAAGATTTCAGTTATCTGTTTGAATTAGTATTGCTTTTATGTCATCGTCTTTTTCATGTTGAATTGTATATGGTCTATGTTAATTATGTTTTATGAATATGTCCTGAAGATGTTCTATTAGACCGAAACGTCCGACGTTGACATTAAACATTAAAACAGCATAATCGCATATTAGGATTTTTGTTTGTTTTTTCAGTATATTTTTCTTCACACAATAATATGTAAACCACATTAATAGAAATAAACTGTTTTTTAAAGTTTTTATTATTAATGGGAGTCCAACGAGTGAGCAGTTTTGAAACCGCTAAATATCTTCTTTGCGTTGTTTGTAGTTATTGGACTTCGTTATGTCATTTGCGCATGCGTACTGCTTGGCGTACCACGTGCGGCGCGCGTGTCGTACGTGGCCGACTCCTGCCTTAAACAAAACCAATAGTTTAAACTAAAAAAATAAGATACCCGGCAAAACAAATTATAACAAATAAAGAAAAATAAGCAAATAAATAACTAATAGACAAATTAGTAAACTACGGATGTACAAATAAACACAAATAAATGTAATAATAATCAACAACAACAACAAATAATTTAGTAGAATAGAATCCCTGACAACAACCGGACTAAGAATGCCTTCCCGATATGAGGAATTGGTTACAAAGTCCGGATATGAGAGGTTATATCTAGATTAAAATAAACGAACTGAAATCAGGTTTAACATTTATTTTCTATGCTTTATAGTAAACAAATTAAGCTAATGATGAGTGAAATATAAAATATGTTTGGTTTAATCTGCCTTTGAGAAATAAAATTTTGTTCTTATTTTTAATTTGTTGCACATAACACTGTGAACAAAAATAATTTTTCTAAAGAAAGTAAAGGATTATTTTTATTAATCCGACATATTGTTTATCACTTAAAAAAAAAAAAAGGGTTCGAATCCTACCAGAGAGAGAGTAAATTGCTCTTTAATAAAATTTCTCAAGCACTCAGGCCGGTAGACAAAAATAAATAAACACAGTAGAATCCCTAACAACCGAACTAAGAAGGCCTTCCCGATATGAGGAATTGGTTACAAAGTCCGGATATGAGGGTTTATATTTAGATTAAAATAAAAGAACTGAAATCAGGTTTCAACATTTATTTTCAATGTTTTATAGTAAACAAAATAAGCTAATTGTGAGTGAAATATAACGGAATTGATTTTAAGGAAAAAGAAATGAATTATGTAATGTTAATGAAAATTTATTAAATTAAGTATGCCATGTATGCAAAACAAATAATGTAACGAGGTTTTTTTAATCGCTGTTGCATGATGATTCTTTCTCTTCTAATGTCATTCTCAACTTTTTCCGCATTTCGTTTTGCTTTTGTTCTTGAAAGTTTTAAAACAGAAGATACTTTTTTTTAAAACTCTGCGTGCGTTATTGCAATCGTCATAGCTGAATGCTGGCTTTCTTTCCAGAAAACTGACAACCTTTTCAATAGCGTTTTTAATTTCAGTCCAGGTTTAACGTTTTTTATCTCCTTGTTCATTGTGACAGTGTGAACGCTGGAGAATAGTTTCTTTGGGAGATTTTATATCATACAATGTTGACTTTTCCTATGTTGAACTAAGCCATTAGTTACAATGAACTTTCACCAGCATCTAGTCTGTTTAAAATTTCCAGATTTTGCGATAATTTCAAAGTTGTTCTTTTCCTCTTATTCCATCATCATTTGCCCCAATACAAGCCATTAATATTTTTAAATAAGCATAACCAAAGTAAATTTCCAAAGTAAATTATCCAAAGTAAATTTCCTCAAAAACAGAAATTTCAAATCAGTTACATATCACCCAAATAGTTTAAATGTGCACTTCAAAATCATGTCCGGATATGCGGGATTCCGGATATGGGGCACTCCGGATATAGCCTCTAGAATAATTTGAAATATAATCCTTACCGCTTACTCCAAAGCTATTATGATAACACAATAGACCTCGCTAATGCACCATTAACCAGCATATATAAATAGTCGAGGCGATAGACAACACACATAGCCTGAAGATTGCATTGAAGCATGAAACAGACTATGGCTGCTCGGTGTTGACCTCAATGTTCATTTCATATTTATTTCACTCATTGAGGTAGACTGTTCTAGTTCATATTTAATGGGTATCAGTTAACTCCTGTTAATTCCTCTCTCCAAGTTCTCCACTGCCTTAACTGGGTAGTGATCTCACACTCTTTGGGTCCTGTCTCTGGATTTAATTAACGCCTTTATCCTCTGTGCCTTGTGTTCTTGACAACTGACAGCTATTAAACATGACACGCGGAATTAGAACAGTCTACATCAGTGAGCGAAATAAAGTGTTCAGTTCGACATTACAACCACCTGAAGAAGGCTGGAGCGTACAACGGCCGAAACGTTGTAATAAATATAGCGACAAATATGAGGAAAATAGTCCGAATAATGTAAATAGTGTACATAATACCTCTTCTCAGAAATATAGACAGATACTGAAAGGCCGAAACGTGATAAATGTGGCAACAAAGATTAGAACAATAGTCCGAAAAATGTAAATAGTGTACATAATACCTCATCTCAGAAATATAGACAGATACTGAAGGGCCGAAACGTTGTAATAAATATAGCGACAAAGATAAGGACAATAGTCCGAATAATGTAAATAGTGTACATAATACCTCATCCCAGAAATATAGACATATACTGAAAGGCCGAAAAGTTGTGATAAATATGGCGACAAAGATGAGGACAATAGTCCCAATAATGTAAATAGTGTACATAATACCTCATCTTAGAAATATAGACAGATACTGAAAGGCCGAAACGTTGTGATAAATATGGCGACAAAGATGAGGACAACAGTCCCAATAATGTAAATAGTGTACATAATACCTCATCTTAGAAATATAGACAGATATTAAGCTAGATGTTTTAAACTTTTTGTAGTAGGTGATAAATCTTAGGCTTATTGAATGGTATGTATCGATGAATTTTTTTAATTGCTTTTTTATCTTTTTTATAAGTAGGGTGCATTTAGTTACGATAGAATAAGTTAATGGTGTGTTTATTTTTCTTTGATTCAGGGATATGTTTGGCAGGACTAATTTTTTTTGTTCGCCGACAACGTGGTTAGGGAAATTATTGTTGATTAGGGTTTGTTTAATGTTGCTAATTTTCTTATAGAACAATGATTTCCAATGTGGGGTGCATACCCTATCGGTAGGGCGTGGTAATATTTTGTTGGGGTATGTGTAGGATGTGCACCCTTCGGAAACAGAAGAAGCGGGCAATTCGAGAATGAGTTATTAACAATGAATTGTTTACTAGTGAACTCAAATTTCATTTTGCATTATTATTTCATGATTAAAAGGATCAAAGTATATTACAGAATAAGCTTTTATTCAAATATTTTATATTTCTGCCTTTCAATTCTCTATTATATGTTTTGAAATTATATATATTTAACTGTCTTTTTGTTGTTTTTTTTTTACAT